GTATCACATATAAAACTCCCTCTTCCTTTTTCTGAGATGGGGACTCACTATGTTGCCCAGATTGGCCTTGAATGCCTGAGCTCAAACAATTCTGCCTCAACCTCCTGAAGAGACAGAACTAGAGACATTGTGGCCATCTCTTCCTTTACCTCCTAACACAACTACCAGACACAGTCACTGCTCTATAGCATTAATTACCCAACCTGGGGGGAATATAAGCCTTGTACTAGAGCCAGATATGGTGGCATAAACCTGTAATCCCAGCATTTGGGAGGCTGAGGCGGGAGGATCGATGCGAGTTTGAGGCCAACCTGGGCTACAGAGTGAGTTCAAGGGCAGTCTGAACTACATAGTGAAACCCTGTCTCAAAAAACAAAACAGGCTGGGGATTTAGTTCAGTGGTTCTGCCGCCTGCCTCAAAAGCGCAAGGACCTGAGTTGGATCCCCAGTACCAAAAAACAAAACAAAACAAAACCCTGTACTTCTCAAGAGCAAGCTAAGGGCTGGGGATTTAGCTCAGTAGCACCGCACCCATCTCCCAAGCACAAAGTCCTGAGTTTGATCCCTCATGGGGGGGGGGGGGGCTAGTTCATTGCTGGAAACAATAAACCGCAAGGACCAAACTGTTATTAAACAACTCCTACTCACATGTGCTTATGGACCGAGAAAGCACACCAACATGGAGTTCTGGGTGAAAATTACTTAAATAGCATTAAAAGGATATAGAGATCTCAATTCCTTATCTCAACAGTTATGCCACAATAACTAATAAAATGTTCCTTCCCTTTAAATCTGAATTTCCCCTTTGAGAAAAGCCCTTCTGGGAAGCTGCTCAATTGGAGAGCCCCTAGGGAAGCTGTGTGTAGTGTGAGGCTCAAAGAAATGAAGAGAGCAATTGACTTCCCTAAGCCAGGTTTTGTTTTTGGCTTTGTAGCTATTTTCCTGTCCTGGCTGAAGCAATGGGTGTTATTATCAGTGCTGAATTAGCTGCTTTAAAATGTATTAAATGTTTTATTAACACTGTGATTCTTAAAAGGGGTTCTGAAAAAAAATCTTTCTGGCTAATGCTTTTTGAAATTATGCCTAAAATAACTTCTCAATCTGATATATGCAAATCACTCTACTTTTACTATTGCATTTTACACTATCTGCAGACAGTCTGTTATTACAAAGAATTTTTTTTTGTTTGTTTGTTTGTTTTTTGAGACAGGTTCTCCATCATGTAGTCCAGGATGGCCTTGAGCTCACTGTGTAGCCCCCACTGGCCTCCAACTCATTGCAATCCTCCTGCCTCAGTCTCCTGAGTCCTGGGACTACAGGCATGTGTGGCACCACACCCGGCTAAAAGAAATCAGTTATACCAAGTGTTCTGGAAAAGATTTTATGAGGAAATCTAAAGTTATTCAAAATGTAAATGAGTTGAGTGTGGTGGAGCATGCATTCCTGTAATCCTAGCACTTGAGGCTGAGGCTGGAGTCACAGCTAACTGGGGCTACACAGTGAGTTCAAGGCCAGTCTAAGGTACATAGTGATGCCCTGTCTCAAAAAGAAAAAAGTAATTAATTTGATCATTTAACATGTTTGTTCTGCCTGAGGCACTGTTATAGGCACTAAACTCCAACTTTTCACTATTGAAAATCCCTTTTCCCTTGCAAGCACAAGGACCTGAGTTTGATCCCCGGTACCAAAAAAAAAAAAATCCCTTTTCTGCTAAGCGTAGTGGTGCACACCCACAATCCCAGCATTTGGTAGACTGAGGCAAGAGGACTACAGTGAGCCTGACCTACATAAAGACCCTGTCTCAAACCCTCCAAAAAAAGAAAAAAATCTTTTATTTCCATCTCAAGCATTGAAACACTCTGTTGATCAAACTGCATCATTAAGTTTTCTTTATTTTAAACTAAATTTGAAGACTGATTATTAAAGCCACGGTCAGCATATAGCCAGAAGTCTCCTACCAAACTGAATTTTCATCCTCAACTGAAGAAACTGAACACACTCCTCTACAGCCTTGAAGTAAGAAACAGAGGCAATGTGACAAGTGACATGGAATTTGGGTCTTGGAGCCAGAGAGATTTAGTGCCTCATCTCTTCCTACCACAGTACTATTTCACTGTAGGTAACTCTCTCAATCTACCTAAACCTCACAGTTGCCTCATTTCTAAAAATAAAATAGGGCCGGGGATTTAGCTCAGTGGTTCTGCCACCTTCCTCGAAAGCGTTAAGGACCGGAGTTCGATCCCCGGTACCAATAAATAAATAAATAAATAAATAAATAATAAAAATAAAAATAAAATAACAATATAAAAATAATAATATGACAGTACATTAACTTTGACTCTGAAAACATAAAAAAAGAACTCAGGTAAATAACCTTGTATATTTAGTAAGTACTCAGTTAATGTTATATTTTTTTCTGAGCTCCACTTTTTTGAAAACAAATAATGTAAAAACCATAAATCCCCTCTCAGACTCCAGTGTCTGGGGATTCCAAACTGGGTCAACTGAGCTAGACTAGGGGGATCCCAGAATAAATTAGCTCAAGATCCCTAACTTTAAGGCACTCAGAACCAAGTGTAGGACAGATAAGTCTGGCCACGTCTATGATCCTAGCACTAGGGAGACTGAGGCAGGAGGATTGCCTTGAGTTCCAGGCCAGCCTGGGCTACATGAGTTCAAAGCCAGCCTAAACTGAATTTTGCAGTGAGACCCAGTCTCAAAAAAAGGAAAAAGAAAAGAAAAAAAAAAAAGGAAAGACAAGTCTGTAACACAAATCAGATTTTGACAGTGCTCAAGGAGAAACAAAGAGGGGCCGGGGATTTAGCTCAGGGCTTCCACTGCCTGCCTCACAAGCTCAAGGTCCCAAGTTTGATCCTTGGTACCAAAAAAAAGAAAAGAAAAAAAGAAAGAGAAACAAAGAAAGTGCTATGGTCACACAAAGGAAGAAACAACTCATTCTGATGGGACTGAAGGCTCAGAGTAGCTGGGATTGGAGTTGAACCTAGGACATGCCTGGAAGGGAGAAGTGGGGAGAAGAGCCTTTCTCAGGTGAAGCATACAGAATGTGCAAAGGAAGACCTCATAACAAACAAGTACCATCAGGAGGCTTTGACTGATTGACTGACTGACTGATTGACTGACTGGTACCAGGAATCAAACTCCGGGCCTAGAGCGTGCCAGGCAGGCGCTGTTCTGCTGAGCCACATCCCTAGCCCAGGAGGCTTTGCTTTGACATCACATAGAACTGATCACAGCTCACACTCATCTTCCTTGCTGGGTAGCCTAGGGCAAGCCATCGAATGTCTTCATTCCCGTTTGTCATCACAAAATGGGGATGATAACGTCTTCTTCAAAGGGAGGATTAAACATGATCATGAATATGAAGTACAGAACTACAGAGTAAATGTTGGAAAAACTGTAGCTGTTGGGATTAGGTTTAAAGAGTAGTGGGATACCAAAGGATGGGAGATAACGCTGAACAGGTTGTTTTTAGCCCAAGAAAGTTCTTGCAAGCAAAGAGGTTACAATTAGCTGCTGAGGACACTCCAACCATAGACGTTTTTAACGAGAGAAAGAATTAAATATTTGCTTTAGAAAATGAACTCTGGAGTGCACGAAGGGTAGTCAAGGAAGGAGAGGGCACCTGAGAGAAAGGTGGATGGATTTCAGTAATTTCTCTGAGATTAGGAAGCAAGGCATGCACTCACAAAATCTTTAAAGTTAAATCCACAAGCCTTAACTGATGTCAGCATTTGATGAGTAGGGAAATAAATAATAGTTCTCTCATCTAAGTGAATGGTGTTGTCACTGGCAGAAAAGATGTGGAGGGGTCTGAAGTTTGCTGACTGCTCTTTTGTGCTTACTTCCACTCCAGTTTTATAAAGTTAAACGTCCTCACCAGTCCTTACTGAAAAGAAAGGAAATGTTCTCAGAAAAGGAGGGCTCAGCGGTTTGGACTCCCAAGTTCAACGTCTAGTTCTACCAAGTAGGGCTCTACCTAGCACGAACCTCCCACTTCTTTATCTCCCCCCACGAACTTGATTCTGTGCCTTTATTTCCAGCCGAGTTGCAGCTCACCCGGACTACGTGGTCGCCGACTCACAAATGTTGGTTGACTCTCTAAAACATCAGCAAATCCACTAGTGAACGAACTAAGTCAATTTAGCGCTTGTGTTCCTCACCAAAGGAGCTAATTAGTGAGAAGACACTACAGTGCATTCAAGATCCAAAGTACGAGTACCAAGTTATTTTTATAAACTTTGGCCTGTTTTGATTCGAACGACAGAAGCCAACCCTCACCACCCTCCCAAAATGGCACTGTGCTTCAATAAAAAAAAAAGAGATCGAGATGACTAAGTGGTGGATGGGGAAGAAGACGAGGAAGGAGAACCGAGCCGCGAATGGGGCCGAACCCACGCCTTCCTGGAGTTAAAACTTGCCGGCTGTGAGTCAAGGCGACAGTTTTCTCGGACTTAGCGCAATTTCAAACAACCCACCAACAAACAAACCTAACTCTGGCCGCCGGCCTTCTCCTCCTTCCCTCCCCAGCCCGGGCCGGGCCGGGCTGGGCCTCCGGTCCAGGGCGGGGCGGCTCCGCGGCGCGGGATCTTGTCTGGGGTTCCGGGGCTCTGCACTCGGGCCTTCCCCACGGTGCCGGCCTAGGCTCTTGCCCGCCGAGCCCCGCATTCACGGTGACCCTCCGCCGGAGCTGCGGGCGTCGCGGCAAGGGAAATCTGGTCGTGCCTCGGCAGGAGAGTCACGCGGACGCCCGAGCTGGGCGGAGGGCCGGCGGCGCCCCGGCACGGCCTGCAGCTCCCGCCCAGGCTGCGGCCTAGATGGCCCCGTTAGCTCACTCAGCCCGCAGGCGGCCCGGTGGGACGGAGGGGCCACATAGGGAGGGAGGCCGGGCGACGGCGCCCAAAAGAGTCCCGGGCCCGTTGCGGGGCCCCAGGCCCGGAACGCCGCCCCCCGTCCGACCGGCGCCGGAGAATGGCTTTTACCTTCATCAGCCTCCTGCTGGCCGCCATCTTGGACCTGGTGCTGCTGCTTTCCCAGAATGCATCGCGGCCCGCCTGGCAGCTGAAGCCCCCGCACTTCCTGGAGTGGGGGAGGGGAGGGGGAGAGAGAGGAGAGAAA